TAAAATCTTTTAAAAAGGTTTGCTTACAGGTGAAGAAAGCTTGGTAGTTACACTAAATTCCTCATTGTATTCCTTTTCTTCATAATACTCCTTCACAGTCAATTCACCAGCACAGTCTTGTATGTGGACAACCCAACCCATTATCATCTCCTCCTTCTGCCTTCTCTCCTTTCAAGAAACACAAATGTCAAGGATCAAATAACTAAAAATCAAAGTGGGCCAAAAGCTACTATGTGTTGAAGAAGGTCTTTTTTTTTTTTTAAGAGTTTATTTATTTGACAGAGATCACAAGTAGGCAGAGAGGCAGGCGGAGAGTGAGAGGGAAGCAGGCTCCCCACTGAGCAGAGAGCCCAATGGGGGGCTTGATCCCAGGACCCTGAGATCATGACCTGAGCCAAAGGCAGAGGCTTTAACCCACTGAGCCACCCAGGTGCCCCAGGAAGGTCATTTCTATAGGTGTTTGCAAGTAACACTGTAGGGAATCTGATGTTTAGTTGAGGCAGGGGTAGGTCTCAGGATCCCTTTATGCTCTTAAAAACTACTGAGCAGGTGTGCTCAGGTGGCTTAGTTGGTGGGGCAACTGCCTTCAGATCCAGTTGTGATACTGGAGTCCCGGGGTAGTGTCCTGCTTCAGGCTTCCTGGTCAGCAGGGGGTCTGCGTCTCCCTCTGACCTTCCCCTTCTCATGCTTGCTCTCTCTCTCTCTCTCTCTCTCTCTCGTAAATAAATAAAGAAATAAAATCTTTAAAAAAAATTACTGAGCACCCTCATATCCCTCCTCCTCCTGAACTAGAGCTTCCTTCAGTGTGGAGATAGAGCATTTTAGTGCAGTGTTTTCCAATGGCAAGTTGTAATCTTAGTAGGTCACGGTATTAGTTTCCTGAGGCCGCCATAACAAATAACCACAAACTTGGTGGCTGAAAATAACAGAATTCTCTCACAGCTCTGGAGGCCAGAGGTCTGAAATCAAGTGTCAGCAGGGCTGTATGCCTTCCAAAGGCTCTAGGGAAGAATCTGTTCTTTACCTCTTAAGCTTCTGGTGACTGTAGGTGTTCTTTGGCATGTGGCCACATCACTTCAGTCTCTGCCTCCATGGTCCCATTACTTCCTCCTCTTCTGCTTTCTCATCTGTCTGATCTCTCTCTGCATTTCTCTTACAAGAGCGCTTGTCACTGAATTGAGGACATACCCAGGTGATAAAGGATGATCTCATTTCAAGATCCTTAATTACATCTGCAAAGACACCATCTCCAAGTAAATTAACAGGTTCTGGGGATTAAGATGTGAACATATCTTTCAGGGGCAAAACCATCCCAGAAATTGCAGTAATAAAATCATTGTAGTGTACTGAGAAACTTTTTAATGGAGTAGGGCAGGCAAATATAGAAGGAATAGTATTTAGTGAAGTTTTCTTAAAGATTTTATGTACTTATTGGAGTGAGTGGGGGGAGAAGCAGAGAGAGGGGAACAAGCAGACTCCACACTGAGCGTGGAGACCGATGCCGGGCTCCACCCCATGACCCCGAGATCATGACCTGAGCTGAAATCAAGAATCAGACACTTAGCCAACTGAGCCACCCAGGTATCCCTAGTGAAATTTTTATATATATCATATTTATATGTCTGTCTATACTAGGTTCCATGTAAAATATATTTCTCACTGTGAGTCTTGGTTTTAAAAGGTTGAAATCCACTGTCTGCTATAACCGCATTATTTCACAGGTAAAGAAGTAATGCGGAGGAATTACGTAATGTCAAGATCACATAAACGATAGAATTAGCACTTTACTGTACCGTGCTACCTTTAACTCTTTGTCTTAGATTGCCTTTCAGAGTGCATACTTATTTTCTTCATTTGTCTCTTTATTCAACTCATCTTTTTCTTTTTTTACTTCTTACTATGAAAATTTCAAACATGCAAGTAGATAGAGTAGTATATAATGGACTCCCTTGTACCCGTCACCCAGCTTCAGCAGTTACCAACTCCTAACCAGTCTTCTTTCATCCTCTCCCCAATCCATCCCACTCCCATGTTATTTTGAGACAAATCCCAGATTGTATCACTTCATCAGTAAATATTTCCATATTTAACATATTTAACATAACCACAGGGGCTCCTGGGTGGCTCATTCGGTTAAGCATCTGCCTTTGGCTCAGGTCATGATCCCAGGGTGTTGGGATTGAGCCCCACATGGGGCTCTCTGCTCAGCGAGGAGCCTCTTTCTCACCATCTCTGCTGTTCCCCATGCTTGTGCATGCACTCCCTCTTCCCCCCCCGCCCAAATAAATAAATAAATAATTTTTAAAAATAACATAACCACAACACTATTATCACACCTTAAAGAAGTAAGCATTACTTCCATAATACCATCAAATATGCAATTATTATCCAGATTTCCAATTTTTTCATAGATGTAGTAAACAGTATGAGTGGATACTTGTTTTACAATTTGTTGCTTGAATCAGAATCCATATAAGGTTTACATATTATAATTGACTGATAATAATTTTTAAGGTTTTTTTTTTTTTAAAGATTTTATTTATTTATTTGTCAGAGAGAGAGAGAGAGAGAGCGAGAGTGAGCACAAGCAGATAGAGTGGCAGGCAGAGGCAGAGGGAGAAGCAGGCTCCCTGCCGAGCAAGGATCCCGATGTGGGACTCGATCCCAGGACTCTGGGATCATGACCTGAGCTGAAGGCAGCCGCTCAACCAACTGAGCCACCCAGGCGTCCCATTTTTAAGGTTTTTTTAATCTATAAATTCCTCTTTCCATCTCTTACCTGCCATAAAATTTATGTGGAAGAAACAGAATTGTTTGTCCTGTAGTGTTTCCCACATCAGGACTTGGTTGATGCATCCCTATGTTGTCCTCTAGCAAGTTCCTCTGCCCTCTGTATTTCTGTAAATCACTTGCCTCATCTTTGTTAAGCTTTCAATGTATGTAGACTGGGCATATTCCCCAATATGTATTCTGTACATTTCTAAATCTAGATGCCAGGAAATACTTGTTTTTCTTTTTTCCCATTTTTCATTATTCTTAACTGTATTTTCATACTGCCTAGAAACCTTTACCATTTTGTCTTTTTAATCATCCAAGAAGCTATAATTTTGTTCAATAATCCTCTGTAAATTTAGCATTTAAGGCTCCTAACTCACTAAATGTGTACTCCTCATTCATACCACATAGTACCAACAAAAACCTTTAACTTGATCCAGACATCACCTCTTCCTGTTGTAGCAATTGTATGTTCATGAGGAGGTTATATAGTAGTTTGTGTTGTTGAGATCAACAGAGAAGACCTACTAATCAACAGGGTGGAGGGATAAGAGCAAAGATTTTGGAGTTTAATAAACCTAGGTTTGGGGGTGCCTGGGTGGCTCAGTCAGTTAAGTGTCTGCCTTCGGCCCAGGTCATGATCTCCAGGTCCTGGCATCAAGCCCCGCATAAGGGTCCCTGCTGGGTGGGGAGTCTGCTTCTCCCTCTGCCCCTGCCCCTGCTGGTGCACTGGCCCACATGCTCTCTCTTTCTCTCTCAAATAATACCTAAACAAAAAAAACCTAGGTTTGAATTTCAGCTTCCCCAGTGATGTGTAACATGGCACAGAATACTACTTTGAGTCCAGTTCCTTGTTTGTAAAAAAGCATTGATGATGGCAGTTAAAATCTTAATTCTGTAATTTGGTATACATACAAAGCCTTTAATGGTCTGATCCTTACCTTTATAATCTTTGCATCTTTCTCCAGCAACACTGACCTGAACCTCTCTTTTCCCCCTGGACACACACACACACACACACACACACACACACACAAGGGCCTTCTATGACTTCTCTCTTGTAATCTCATTTATAACACCTTCCAGACCCATTTCTCTTTCAAGCTTTTTTTTTTTTAAGCTTTTATCTTTAGACAAACCATAAGAGACTCTTAATCTCACAAAACAAACTGAAGGTCGCCAGAGGAATGGGGCTAGGGAGAGGGTGGTGGGGTTTATGGATGTTGGGGAAGGTATGTGCAATGAAGTGTGTAAACCTGCTGATTCACAGACCTGTACCCCTGGGGCTAATAATACATTATATGTTAATTAAAAAATAAAAAATTATTTTAAAAAAAGATTTTATCTTTAAGTAATCTCTACACCCAATATGGGGCTCTTACTTACAACCAGGAGATCAAATCGCGTGCTCTACCAATGGAGCCACCCAGGTGCCCTTCACTTGACTAATTCTTACTCAGAGTAGGCATCCCTGGCTTCTGCCGTCCCACACCAACACCTTTTGTGTGCTTCTCTGTGTTCCCCAGAGCACTGTGTGCCTATCTTTGTCTTTGTACCCATCCCACAACATTGTATTAGTCTCTGTGCTCTCAGAAAAGCTTGTGAATGACTTCACCATGGTGTTTGCCATATAGTGTTTCAGTGTGGTTTTATCTCACCTCCACTAGACTGTACATTCTTTAAAGACCACAGTCCTCATTCTTAACGTTTTTTTCTACCATGTGTTCTATCACATGCTTAAATCTTGTTGAATAAATGCTAATAATAGTGTTTGTCGTATACCAGGATTAAACATTTTTCATACATGATTTAATCTAGCTCTAACATTTCCGAGGTTAAATGAGAGAACATGTGTATATTTTCTCATACTTCACATATTCTAAGTAAAAATGTTAATTCTCTTTTTCTGAATTTTAGGACACAGCTTTATAACTACCTCTGTGAAATACCCCTACCCCTTCCTTGCTTTTGTTTGTTGCCTTTTTTCCCCATAGCTCTTTGTTCATACCATAGTCATACTCTGTGTGTATGTACCTTTGTTATACTGCAGTAGACTGGAGTTGCTAAGGGTAAAAATTACCTCATTTCTATATTCCTAGGGCCCAGCACAGTCCTTGACTGGTACAGAGGAAGGGCCATATAAATGTTGAAGGAGAGAGATAAATGTATACATATAGTGAGGACTTTCTAGATTATTGTTCCATTTCATTTTATTTTTCCTTCAGGATGCATGTCGTGTTCTCAGCGAAGGTACTCCCTCCAGCCCATCCCAGAGAGGAGAATTCCAAACCGATACTTGGGCCAGCCCAGCCCCTTTACACACCCACACCTCCTCAGACCAGGTAAGCCCTTTAAACTGTTAATAACTGTCTCTCTCTTTAGATGCTTCCCTTAAAACTATGCTATCCAATAGAATTTTTTGCAGTGATGTAAATGTTCTAGATCTGTGCTGCCCAGTACAGTATCTACCAGCCACAAGTGGTTATTGCATACTTAAAATGTTGCTAATGTAACTGAAGAACTTAATGCTTTATTTTACCTTTATTTTAGTTAATTTTAGACTTAAAGAGGCACATGTGGCTGCTGGTACTATGTTGATGGCACTATCTAGAGTAATAAATACAATAAGCCTTAAAATTCAGAATTACCAGTGAAAAGTATGTATTTTGGGATATTTTAAAAGAAAAGTTACATTACTTTCTAAGACATAGTTGCTAGATCAAGTGATTAATTCCCTGTGAGCTGCTATGTTAAAGACATTTTAGAAAACATTTTTCTGGGGCACCCAGCTGGCTCAGTCTGTGGAGCATTAGACTTTTGATCTCAGCATTTATGAGTTCAAGCCCCATGTTGGACACAGAGCCTACTTTTTAAAAAAGAAAGAAAGAAAGAAAACGTGTTTTTTTTGAGAGTACTAAGTGGTCATTTCATTTAACAAAAATGTTGCTAAGTAGATTACACTACATTTCCACATTTGATTTTCACAGCTTTGAGAAGTGATAACAATGATAAAAAGGCAGTTAAAAGGTGAACTGTGTAGCTTTGCGCAGTGGCAGTATCGTAGCCAATGAGGTTTATCCGAGGCGTGATCATTGCTAATTAAAAGGTGATCTGTGGGGGCGCCTGGGTGGCTCAGTGGGTTAAAGCCTCTGCCTTCGGCTCAGGTCATGATCCCGGGGTCCTGGGATCGAGCCCCGCATCGGGCTCTCTGCTCTGCGGGGAGCCTGCTTCCTCCTCTCTCTCTCTGCCTGCCTCTCTGCCTACTTGTGATCTCTGTCTGTCAAATAAATAAATAAATAAAATCTTTAAAAAAAAAAAAAAAAAAAAATGATCTGTGGGGAGTGAAACCATCCCAAAGAGGTAGGTAGGGCAAAACCAAATGCTTTGTAGAAAAAGCAGTCAGATTTTCAAGGGAAATTAATTTTTGCTTCTGCCATGCGAAGTTAAATCTGTATTTGCTATGTAAGTATATAGACTAATAATCTAAATTGCCTTTAGAAATGTTCCTCTTTGGGGCGCCTGGGTGGCTCAGTGGATTGAGCCGCTGCCTTCGGCTCAGGTCATGATCCCAGGTCCTGGGTTCAAGCCCCGCATCGGGCTTTCTGCTCAGCGGGGGGCCTGCTTCCTCCTCTCTCTCTCTGCCTGCCTCTCTGCCTGCTTGTGATTTCTCTCTGTCAAATAAATAAATAAAATCTTTAAAAAAAAAAAAAAAGAAAGAAATGTTCCTCTTTCGCTGTCTGTACTCAGTGAATGATACCAGTGTGTCTCTCAGCGAGGGCTTCCTTTTGCTGATTCTTCCTCAGACTGGAATTTCTGCTGGGAAATCGGCTGAGACTCAGGAAATGCAGCTCACCACTGAAATACACAAGAAATCAGAGTTTTTCAAAGCTGTAAGGTAAGCTTACTTGCATTCCAGTTAGTATTAAGTATTTCTCTAACCTATCAACCTACGTGTAGTCTCATTTAAAAAAAAAAAAAAAGTAGAATTGACATTGAGTTTTACCAGCTTTGAAAATTACTGATTTCTCGTGGTGAGATATTTTTACATGGTGAGCTGCGTTTTCTAGGCCTTGAAACTAGTAATCATATGGTCAAGATAATGGCCCCTGTATCTAAACTGTTTGCTGTGTACGTTATGTGCGTGATAACTGTATAAAAGATGATTGTAAATAAATACACACACATATATTCATAAATGTATTATGTTCATATCAGCTATGGGAGGAAAAGAGATGTCTGTCGTAATTTTTACTCTTCTGGACGTAGGGTTTTAGACATTGGACTAAGAAGGAATAGAAGTAGATGGAATTTTAAAACAGAATCATCAGTGTTAAACCAGGTATACAGTCCAAAGTATTAATCGCTTGTCTTTCTCTATGTAGACATGGAAGTGTTAAAATGATTGTGGTGTGGAGAAAGAGTAAATTGTTGAGAAAAAATAAAAGGCATATAATATATATTTTTAAAATTTCTTTCACAGAGGTAGTCAGTCTGTTAGTTTTGAGTATAAAATTATATCATCTCTTACTTGGTTTGCTTCAGAAAGTTTCATGTTTGGCCTATTTTCCCAGTGCTTGTAAGTACTTAAAACTTCTGGAACATATCTCAATCCTTTCTCTAATTATTATACAAGGCCCATATATATTAGGAGAAGTGTTAGAGAATATAGGTAAAAATATTTTTTAAAAAAAATCACTTAAAATTCCACCATTCATAGAAAACTACCATTAAGGTTTTGGTGTATGTATCTTTCTGGACTTATTTTGTGTCTGTGTGTATGTATACACATTTGTGTACTTTGTATACTGATCAATTATTTCTTAAAAATAAATTCTTAGAAATGAAATTACTGGGTCAGCTCTTTCTGAATTTTGGGGAGCTGTTTCCTTTGGATTTTTCCTGGCCATATCCACCCAAGTTTCCTGAAGCAAAAGTAACCTGGAAAATATTCAGCAAAATGGCTCAGATAAAGGTATTCTGTTCTAGGTGTGCTACTACTGCTTGAGATGGAAATAAAAAATCAGACTGACTTTCCCAGGGTCTCCTAGTGATTTCTAAAACTTACTTCCTTAAATTATGTATGTGTGAATTTACTTATTTATTTATTTATTTATTTGCAGATAAAATATGTTTATTGGATTCCTTTGTTGTTGTTTTTGTAACATTTATTTATTTATTTTTATTTTTTATAAACATATAATATATTTTTATCCCCAGGAGTACAGGTCTGTGAATCGCCAGGTTTACATACTTCACAGCACTCACCATAGCACATTCCCTCATCTCTGTCCATCACCCCACCCCCCCAACCCCCCTCCCCCCATCAACCCTCAGTTTGTTTTGTGAGATTAAGAGTCACTTATGGTTTGTCTCCCTCCCAATCCCATCTTGTTTCATTTACTCTTCTCCTACCCCCTTAACCCCCCATGTTGCATCTCCTCTCCCTCATATCAGGGATATCATATGATAGTTGTCTTTCTCCGATTAACTTATTTCGCTAAGCTTGATACCCTCTAGTTCCATCCACGTCGTCGCAAATGGCAAGATTTCATTTCTTTTGATGGCTGCATAGTATTCCATTGTGTATATATACCACATCCTCTTTATCCATTCATCTGTTGATGGACATCTAGGTTCTTTCTGTAGTTTGGCTTACTTATTTATTTTTGAGTAATCTCTAGGCCCAACATGGGGCTTGAACTTGCGACCCCAAGATCAAGAGTCACATGCTCTACTGCCTGATCCAGCCAGGCACCCCCAATTTCTTTTTTACATTGCCGTCCCAGTGTTGAAGACTAAGTTTGTAGAGACAGAAAATGTAATTTCATCCTCCTGATCACTAATATGCCTGCTACTTATCACCCAAGCAGGGAAAAAGTGATTCTGTGCAGGAAGGTAAGTGGCATTCTGAGCTATATGATGTTATAAACTGTGAATCTACTTTTTATAGTATCTGTGCAGATAAATAGTTACATAGTTCCCAGACATTGCCACAGGAGTAATGCTGTCATCAGGAGAACAGCAAGGTGTTCAATTCACATAAGCACTGCAATTTATCAGACAATGGGAAGAATTACTGCCTAATAAAGCATTATTTCCAAGAACCTGTATTTCTAACATTGTTACATTCTTGGGCACAATTAATCTTGCAATATGTGATATAGTTCGTAGCTCTTTAAGAAAGGGCTGTTCAGGGGCACCTGGGTGGCTCAGTGGGTTAAAGCCTCTGCCTTCGGCTCAGGTCATGATCTCAGGGTCCTGGGATCGAGCCCCACATAGGGCTCTCTGCTTAGCAGGGAGCCTGCCTCTCCCTCTCTCTCTGCCTGCCTCTCTGCCTACTTGTGATCTCTGTCTGTCATATAAATAAATAAAATCTTAAAAAAAAAAAAAAAGAAAGAAAGTGCTGTTCAGAGAGTTGGGCTTGTCAGAATGACTTGTCCAACATACCCAGAACCACTTGGTTTTCAACTACAATAGTGAACAGATTCATCGGGAAGTATTGAGGATACAGCTGTGTGGCCCACAATTTGAGGGAATGCTTTTACCACTTACCTCTTTGTCCCTTATCATCAGATATAACAGCTGAGGCTGTATAGTTACTGTCAAGTATAATATTTAAAATGATGGAAAGGTTGGTTCTCGACTGGGTGCTAGATAGTAATTCCTGAATCTTCTTCCCTTAGAAGTGTCAGAACCAATTAGTTCTCCATCTTTCAGTCATAGTTTGTTGTAGTTATACCTTGAGCAAGGGGTATATTTTTTTTAAGTTTCGTTAAAATGCTTGACTTCAATATCTAAAGATCAAGATTTCTTTTGGCGCTGTAAGATTTTTACACTATTTAAAAGATTAAAGTTTATGTCCAAGAAATCACAAATTCCAGGTAGTCTGAATCTGCCTGGACCACTGGTTGAGCTTTTTCAAAACATACATACATGTCATGATCCTATAGACTTACTGAATCAAAATCTCAAGGAAAGGGCTTTTTTTTTTTAAGGTTTTATTAATTTATGACAGACATAGCAAGAGAGGGAACACAAGCAGGGGAACTGGGAGAGGGAGAAGCAGGCTTCCCGATGAGCAGGGAGCCTGTTCTGGGGCTCAATCCCAGGACCCTGGGATCATGATCCGAGCCAAAGGCAGATGCTTAACGGTGAGCCACCCAGGTGCCCCAAGTAATACATTTTCTTTTCTCACTTCCTGTGTATCTATGGAATTTTAAAAATAATCCATATTTGTATTAGTTGTGCATATTTTCCTCTTCATTTTCTCAAGTAGATTTTAATCCAGAATAAAGACTGAAGTGGTTTCATGTATAAATTGACAGGCGAATAAACCTGTATA